GTTTGTTTTTGTGTGATGATTAACAAGCTTATCTCACAGGCTAATTTGCTAGTTTTTGATCTTCAATAGTCACTCCACAATAGTGGCCTTGTACCAGATTAGACTGAGTTTAGTAAATATTTATTCCTAAAAGAAAAGAGGGCCACAAACTAAACAGAAAGTGACATCAATTAGTTTCACCTGATGATAAAGCTAAATAAACTATCAACAGCTTTAATTGAACATATATACAGGGTGTCGCCAAAAAATTGACATCATTATAGCCACATTCAATAAAGACAACTGTTCAAAAAACAAAAAAATAAACAGAACTGTTAGGTTAGAGATTCTTCCTGGGAGCCAAGAGATGGCCACCTTGAAGTAATCTCCAGCCAATTTGAATTACCCCAACTATTAACTTTACATGTTAAAATTTCAGGAGTTTAAAATCATAAAGATATATGAGATAATTCTGTAATATTGTGCTGTCAGATGAACAAGAGCATAAGATTTAATCTCTCATACTTAACATTTCATTTTATTTCACTCCAATACTCAGCCAATGAGTGTGAGTGGTTTTGGACCTTACATTGATGTCTGCAATGTTGGAGAGGCTCCCCACTGTGAACTGGCTTTTTCCCACATGTGCATTCCAGATGCAGTTGACACATGTTCACCTGTCAAGGTTATCACTAACATCAGGTGAATTGAGGCTGAGAATATCATCCCTCATCAACTTTGCACCTGGCTTCATTGAAAGCACTGAGTGCAAAGTCTATTCTGTATGATCTCAGGTGGACCATGTATTTCATTTCTGCTATTAGCTTTTCACTCGTTATAATCTTGCTTTTTAAAAAAAAAATCACAATTTTCCAAGACAACTAAGTATTCCCACTGTTAAATATATATATTATTGCTAGCAAAAATCAACTTTAGATATTGATTTGATTCAAGTGTCCTTCATGTTTTGGTAACTACACAAAAAGATTTCAATATTTTGATGTCCAAATTCTCTTCATTTTCAGATAATCAACTGATACTTTAACCGTATGTTTAAAGCTTACAGTTTTTAGAGGCTCACAGCTAATCTAAGCCACTGGTCAATTTGCTTGTAATATTTTCTTCAACTAGAGTTGAATACTAAAATACATGAAGACACAAAGACAAGATTGTTTAGAGTAGAATTCTCATTTTTATTCTAATAAAGAAAACAAGCCTATTTTGTCCTATGAACGAAGCTTTTAGTAAAAGATCTTGTTAAAAGCTTTGCAGAAATAATAATAATAGAGTTATTTATTGATGCTATTTTCTGCTGTTGCCATTTTAGTGGCATTTCTGACACAAGTGGGTTGAAATTCAAGTCAATCACAAAGGAAACGGTGACATGCACTTGGAAAAACAAAGAGTAATAAGTAATTCTTCCATGCTAACTTGTAGAATGTATGTAAACAAGACAACATTTAATTAAAGAAGAAAAAGGCATCCATCCTTGTGGCTTATTCCTACAGGAAAATAATCAGTTTGCAATTATCAAATTTATTCTGCCTTCAAATAATGAGTTTCAATCAAAATTCTAAGTAACCAGAGTCTATGAGATTCCTTTCCAGCCAGAAAGACTTGCCCACCAAAATAGAAATGGGGAGCAGGTCAGGCTTGTGATATGTGAGGAGTCAAATGTTTTCCACTACAGTATTAAATGAATACATTATGTTCTGAATGTGTATTGCAAATTGCATAATATGGTATCTCAAGCAATATTTAATCCCAAAATAAACAAGTTTGATTTTAATACATTCTCTGATATTCAACTTAAAACATTATAAAATTGTTTTTGGTAGAATCAAGAGAACACAATCATGTATTTTGAAGGATTTAATTTAACAATTGTCAAAGTGTGTGACTTGATACATCTACAATTATTATAGATATTACCAAGAGGAGTTTTGTATTTTGAATCATAAAAATGGTTTATTGATCTCAAATTTGCTACATGAAAAGACATTGAGTATCTCATGTTGATTCACAAAAATATATAGATTAAAAAGATTATAGGAACCTCTGGTTCTTAGCTCTGAGTATCATAGATTTCCTTGAGAATTTTGAGAAACAAAAATCTTAATCTCTTTATCTAACTATCATCTGAAGGAACTGGTCTATTCAGAAGAGAAATGCTAAATAATTACCATTATCCAGAAAAATAATTCATAATTCTTGTTAAAGAAAATTTTCTCTTGTAAGAGAAAATTGTAAAAAATTTATTAAACTTTCAGTCAGCAGTTTATAATTCATATGACAGTTATGTATTACCTATAACAAAACAAACTTAGTATATTTTTAACTCAGCCACTCAGATAAATTAAGCTTTTAGAAAACATATAAAAGATTATTAAAGGTCCATCAGATCTTACTCCAAATGCTAGAATAAAAGGTAATTTTCTATAATAATGAAGTTCAAATTATTTCTGGTCTACATTTAGCAAATTTACCTATCTGACAGCAAAGATAAAAGCAAGATATCTTTTTAACCACTGTAACATCTCTTGGAGCATGCAAGGGTGCATGTTGTTTGAATAAGAAAACATCAAAATGTGAAATGTTTTTTAAAAACAGTTATACATTCATTGTTGATGATCATTCAGAGAAGATGTGTATCAAGTCCTTCAGAGCTGGAGTATCATTGTGGGTTGTCCAATGAAAACCTTTAAAGTTAGGAGGTGAGTGCAATTTGAAGAAGTAACTTCCTGCAGTTGGTAGAGACAAACCATTAAAAAGTGTGTAGGAGGGGGGAGGAGGGAAATGACAATTTCACATCTGATCTTTTTTAGCTTCCTCTTTATTTATTTCCATGTTGAAAACTTACAATATCATGAAAATTTTTTTTCTGCCAGAGTCAAAATGAAAGTAGAGAGAATTTCAAAAAGGAAACCAACAGATACTAACAGTGAGACTAACTTCACTTTTATTTATAGTATTTAAAAATGTCACAACTGTTAACCATTTCAATTAACAGTGCCTCAGTTAAAATGCTTTCTTCATCCACACACAGAGTTCAACAAATCAAAGAATTTTGGTACCAAATCTGTTCTTTTTGTTTTTTTTTAGTAAAGTCAAAGAAAATATTTGCTTAAAATAATATACTGTTTAGAGAGATGTGATTGCATAAAGTTTAATTCAGTTATATTTAAAAGATGATTGCGAATTTTAAATGTCTGAAAATGTTTTCATACTAAACTTATCACTAATAAAGAAAGGCGAATACGAATGCAGTCAACTAATGAAAAGGTTTTAGACTACAATCTGACTTTCAACTGCTGTTTGAAAAGGCTTCCTCCTGAAACATTTTGAAGACCTAATTATGATGCCTGTGTTTTTTTTTTATTTAAAATTCATGACAAAAATTCACCAAATTTAAAAAAAAAAAAAACATAGTGAAAAAAATACTAAGTAGTAAAACTAAATTTTGGATTATTTTTATGATATACTTTTTTGTATTTGAATACAGTATAAACAAACAAATCTGCTACATGAAATTAAGAATTAAGAGTCATGCCCCCCCCCATTCCATTGTCACTTATATAAATACAGATTCAGTCAATGGGAGATGAGTTATTGCATCTAGTTTTCGTTTAACTCTGCTATACTCTAGAATGATAAATGGTAGTTACATCATCCTTCCATTTCATCCACTTGATGAGGAAATGTTTTTAATTTGGGATGTTTCTTGGCTAGGGAATCTAAGCAGATAGATTATATTAAGTTGGCTAAAATGTTTGTTCTGTATTTCTTGTTAAATGACATTAGGAATTAATATTTTATCAAGAAAATGCTAGACTGCATCCCTCCACCTTTTTTTTTTTTTGGGTGACCAAGCAAAAATTGTTGCATCTTGGCTGGAATGTTTTTAATCATCTGGCCTATTCAATGGATATTAAACTTATGGCTTCCTGTTTATTCCACTTTTTATGGAATTACCTTAAGCTTGAAAATCAGAAAAAAATCTACAGAAGTTATTGCTCAGAAAGTCAAGATATTCTTAAAAGGATTGAATTTTGAAGTTGTTTGTAAGATGACACAAGAACAAAAAAGCAAATACATTTTTCAATAAAATTTAAAAAAAAAAAAAATCTTTTTATTTTAATTTAATAAACCAAGTATTTTTTTTTCAACCAGGCAATAAGTGTTGTGAATGAATGACTGGATTTTTTAAAAGTGGTCTTTATGAAGTTCTCTTAATGAAAAATTAATTCAATTCCTTGAAAGAGTTCAAAAACACCTTAAGCAGTTTTTTTCAATGAGAGAAATAAAAACTTTAAAAGGTGGATGGAATTATAAATTTGGTAGAAGATAATGGAACAAAACAGTAAATATGCCATTCAATAAAGTTATTGTCAAAAATAAAACCATTTCAATTTTAACTTAATAAGCTAATTTCTACTGTGCTTTACCAATATTTGGGCAAAAGAAAAGCATGACACTTTTAATTAGAGGATTTTATTGCTCCCATATTTGAACACATATTCAAAGATTTGATCAGGACTTCGCATTGTGCCTTTAAAATCTCCCAGAATTACTACTTCAGATAATATATTAATTCATTTCCTATGGCGATATCAACTCTTTGCAGGTTATTTAAAGCCAGAAAATATTTTTAGATTGTAAAAATATTTTTTTTTTTGAGATAATGATTTAGTGATGCAAGTCTTATTAAGGTTATTTGCACATAAGTGAATATAACAAACCCAACTAGAATTGGAACTCAGCTCTCCGATTAACAATTCTGGGCCATTATCCATTATATCACCTGGTATTCACAAGCAAGTATTTACAACCTCATTTAGGTACTGACCGGCCTTGATGTTGCTTAACTTTGGTGATTGTACGAGAACCAGTGTTTCGACATGATGTGGCCGTAAGCCCATTTAGCTAATGGGGCAAATATTCAAGAATACTTACACTTGAGTTAAATTCAAAACAAAAAAAAAAAAAAAAAAAAAAAAAAAAAGAATAGTTGAATGACTTACTGTTGGAACAGCTCTGTGTCGAATTTTTCCATCTTCTATAATTAATTCATTACTTATGCAACATCTTTCCATTCTCAATTTTCCAAATAGGGTAACTTTCATAATTGGATAAATCTTTTGTCTCAATTATAAACTTTCCTGGCTGCAAAGAATAAAAAAAAAAAAAAAAAAAAAAAAAAAAAAAAAAAAAAGAAATAAATAAATAAAAAGAAAATAAAACGCGTACCAAAGAGACATAAAGAAAAAAAAAAAAAAAAATATATATATATATATATATATATATATATATATATATATATATATATATATATAAAATAATTAAATTCATAAAAGCAAATTAAAATTATTTTATTTTTATATTAAAACTAATTCTTTTAAAAATTGCTTTTATATTATGCATTTAAGAGATATTTTTTTAAATTTCTAACATTCTTAGGATCTTTTAACTTGAAAAGAAGGAGAAAATATCAGGAAGTTTAGATTTTCAGTGAATTGAGAAATATTCTTTCATATGAAATACAATAGAAAATAAGTTAGACTAAATTTTTCCAGCTTAATATAAGTAAAATCCTCGGGAAGTGGACTTGTTTTCATAAATGTTTGATATTTGTTTTTTTTACCACCCTCCAGGGCCTTATATAACATCAATATAGTAATTGATTTCTTATTATGAAATTTATTTCTAGCTTAGTTTAATGGAATCAAAAGAAAAAATTTCCAGAGTTCTGAACAAGGACATATATTCTAAAATTTAGTCTTCAGAAAAGAAAGGTTTCTAAAGAAATAATTATAATTGTATAGATGAGAATCTATCTTTCAAAAACAATTAGTAGGTCGTAATTAATTCAGACTATGATTACATTGTCATCAATTTTAGAGAAGTTAAAGAGGGTGGCATCATTTGAAAATAAAAAGTCAAAACAATGACATACACCGATATGTGTAAGACTTAAGTAAAAATCTGCACTTTTGGCTGGAGGAGTGAGAGGAGGAAAAATATTTCACTGTTACAGGAATAAAAAAAAAGGATTTGATAATAATTCAATCTTTCAATATTCAGAATTTAAAGATTTTATTTTTGTCTAACATCACAAGATGCTACAAAACGAAAACATTAATCCAAGAACTCAAGTCCTGTTCTAAGTCTTGTCAGATCTAGACTCTCATGCATTGTGTCCAATTCATTTAGAAACTATCAGCTATATACAACTGTTTTCCAAGATCAATATTTAGAAAATGGATTCAAGCAAATGAACTTTATCATCCTTGAAGAGGACTCTCCTTTGTTGGATCTATTAGACTGGTGCTATAGAATCACAAAGAACTAACAAAAACCACATCACTTGAAGACTTTCAACAGCAGCAACAGCTAAAATGGATAGCACATGTAACTTGCAGAGAAAATGACATAATCAAGATGTTGATATTTCACACTACCTTAAACAAAATGTTAGAAAGAAAACTTCCATCAATACTAGCAAAAGCAATCTGAAAAAAATGTTATAAGAGAAAGATTTTATAAGTTTTAACTGGCAATAACACTAACTGTTCAGTCAATAAATGCCATTTGTTTCCTTGTGAGAAAATAGCTAATCTCACCATTATTATTGTTGGGATTGCTTTTCTATGAATGATATGGCCAAAGAAGGATGTAGAATGGATTGGCCAAAAGGTTGTTTTTTTTTTTGTTTTTTTTTTTACAATGCTGTTCACCCTGTACAAAGCCCAAGAGCCACTTGAGGTAGAAGGTTAAAGAGCAATTTGTAGGAAAAAGCTGCATGAGTGGAACTTACATTTCACCAATAGAATACAAAGGGAGTGAGGATGATTCGCTACAATGAGTGGCATGGCATGTTTCAGCCATGAAGGTTAGAACTGGTAGAACTAAGGAATGTAGTTCATCTGAACACTTTCTGTGGAAATAACGATAGAGCAGCAAGATGCTTGCAATGTTTTGTCTGAGGAAAAAGGGTTCTAATTCATTGTGCTAACAACATCAACAACACACAGAAGGAATTTAATTCTCCAAAGCTTGGAATGTTAATGACTAAGTTCCTGACAATCAGCAAAATATAATTCCCCTTTATAGTCATTGTTAAATATTAATAAATGAATGAATGACAGAACTGCCCAACAAACAGTTTTGACAAAGAGACAAGGAAAAGAAGAGAGCAAGGCAAAAATTAATACAAAGCAAGCAAACCATATATGAAAGGCAAAACAACAGTAGTATGGGGAAAAAGTTGACAAACTAAGAATTGGGGTTGATACACAAGAGCAAATTCAGATGAATGAAAGCAGTGTCCTGATTTCAAGGCAAGACAAACTGGGACTGAGTCAGACGACACCAAGAACCAGCCTATTTTATTGGTTAAGAAGAAATCCCAGTATGCATTAGTGTACTTCTGTCTATAGATTGGGGAGGGGAAAGTATTTTGCAATCATTCCAAGTAGTATTGGAACCAACATCCTTTTCAAAGGCTAAATATCATTTTCATATTTTCAAAAGGTGATTTTTGAGTTGTCAGGAAATAATTAAAAAAGTGAGAGCATTGGTTAGTTTCACATAATTCAGCATAGAAAATGAAATAACCTAATATCTCCACTGGTCTGACAGTAAACAACTGATCCAACCAAAGCCATGTGTAATGAAGCAAAAAAAAAAAAAAGAAAAAAAAGAAGAAGCAATAAACTATCATGAAAATCATATATTCTTGTGATTAACTAAAAACTTGATGAAAGATGGAGAAAGAAAGGAGAGACTGATTTTCATGTTTTATGTGTTTGAAGAATGTATGCCCATTTCATGGCCTTACTTAAGATAATACCGATTTTGGTTCTGTCTTGTAACACTGAGCAATGGATATGCTTAATTTCTAGTGCAGTATGCTGCCAATATCTAACATAGATGTGAGCATGTTAACTGAAGTCTATCTTTAAAGTCTATAAACTTAAAGAATACAAAACTTAGTCACAAAATATCTATTACTTTTCACAAAAGGACGTGTTTCTTTTGATAAAATAATGAAAAAAGTCATTTAGCCAACCTGATTTTGATTAAGAAAGCATTAAATTCAAATTCATGGTTAATAACAAAAGAGAATAAATGTAAACAGGTCAAAATACTACAAGATTTTAGACAAGAGCAGGTGAAAATTCTAAGAGTTCTGGTTAGACTAGAAAGGATAAAAGTCTAACTTTATGAAGACCAGAGTTTAATCGTAAAACAATATAATAAAGGTTGGCATAATGAACATTACAACAAATATTTTCCCTACCAAATACTTTCCCAGTTATAAAAAAGTAACTTAATTTTTCAATATCTCTTTTTTTCCATATTAAATATGCATAAGTTTTCTGCTATTCTCTTGATGTCTTTATTTCATTCAGAAATTCAAATCAATATTTACAGTTGGACTAATGTTATGGTCATGTTTCGGCTGTTGTAACCTCCAATGTCTGTTGATCTGGGTAACCTTCATGGAATTTTGAACTGAACACTTTCTTCAATCTGCAAGAGTAGATTGTTCTTAATCCACTGTCTAAGGTTATCTCATCTAGGTTAATCGTTCAGCAATTGCTAGTTCTGTTTAAACTGAATTTATTCATACTACCCAGCTCAGGAATTGAACCTGCAATTATATGACTAAGACTGATAGAACAATATCCTGAGAGCAGAAAGGCTGAAATGTTGTCATTGTAACAACAAAAATTAGAACATCAGTTCAACTGTAAATAATGATAATTTTCATGATTAAATTAAGACAAAAATTCAAATATTTTATATTAACTTAATATTATATCACTTAATTTGTTTCTTTTCCTTTAGATATGTTAAATGTAATAAATGCTAAATGTAATAAAACTAAACCATATCTTCATTATTCAAGTAAAAATAAGTGGTCAGATATTTCTACAAAATTATGAACTTACTGATTTTTATTCATTTGTTCTCAATAATTGCACTAAGAGCCAAGAAAAATGAAAGATTTTCTGCTTAATATATTTATATTTTATTGTCTTCAATTAGAGGCAGAATTGCAAGATTTTTCCAGAAACAAGGGGCTACCAAATTTTTATGATTTCAGAGACTTTATCTATTTTTATTTATATCTTAAAAAACATTGTCTATCGTAAGCAATTCTTAAATGCAACAAGTGCTTCTAAAATTCATACATGTACAAATCTGAAATTCATTTTTAAAAGAAAAATATCAGAGTGAATAAAATTATAGAATAATAAAAATTTAGTTTTCTAATATTAAATCCATTAAATAAATGTTTATTTCTTATAAAACTCAGCTGGGAGTGTGAAACCAGAACACCAAGGCCTACTCAGGTAAAGACATTGAAACCAGCCATGATAAATCATTACTGTCCATGATAGAATAGTATGTTCAATACAAGTGACTAAAACAATAAATTAAAAGATAAGTAAAATGATTCTAAATGCATGATACATTTAGAAAACAGTGGAAGTGTTGCATTATGACAATAACACAAAAGAGGCTTCACAACAATACATTTAACCCTTTATGGTTAGAACCCCATAAGTTCCACATGCCTGAATGCACCCACAATCCTGAAGCATTGTATTTCAATACACAACATTAACACTGGTCACATGATCAACTAGACGCACTTTTACAATGTTGTAGATTTCCAAAACCATATCTCATAACCAGAAAGAGGTGAAATTTGGTATAATTTGGAAGAGAAATCAGTTTATTTCCAGTATCTGTCTATATTTCTGAGATGAGGTATTATGTACACTATTTACATTATTCGGACTATTGTCCTCATCTTTGTTGGCATATTTATCACAATGTTTTGGCTCAAGGACACATGGCACAGTAGATAAAGGCATTGGTTAGATCCAGTGACAGGACCCAAACAGTGTGAGTTCAATACCTGGTTAAGGCAGTGGAGAACTTAGAGAGGGGGATTAACAGAAGATAACTGACATCCATTAAAAACATGGCACGTGGAACTAGAACAGTCTACCCCAGTGAGCGAAATAAAGGGTTCAGTTTGACATTCCAACCACCTGAAGAAGGCTGGAGCGTACAATGGCCGAAATGTTGTAATAAATATAGTGACAAAGATGAGGACAATTTATTTTCATATAAATGTAATACATAAT